CGCGATGACGGCATGGGGAGATATTAGGCTGTTTTCACATCCTCGCCATGCAACGTCAACTCACTTCCCAGGTGGAGAATAACTGTCACTGCATGAAAACGAGAGGAGTGATAGGCGCGGCTGCTAAAAGATGGGAATTTGTCTCGGTGACTGCTCGGCGATTAAGTTAATGTGGAAGATCTCCCGTTTTTAGTCGCGTTGCCAGCCGAGCAACCAAAATGCTGAGTCTGGGTGAAGGCTAGATGATGGACCCGGACAAACTGTTTGTCAATTCTTGAGACAACAGCAATTGAGGATCAATTTTGAAGATCAAAAGAAACTGGCCTCCATTGTTTACATAAATTCAGCAGCTTGCGCGCTTGGGATGACGAAGTGTAACCCTTTGAGTTTCAGCAGATTCGCGCGAAACGCGGTAGAAAAACAAGCTACAATTAGACATCGAACCTACTCTTGTTATGATTTCTAACAAAGCGAATAATTGGAGACCGCAAAAGCACGCTCCGGGTTCTAGAAGCAGCTTTAACTTAAAATCAAACTCTGTTCATTTCTCATCTAGCCTGGAGTTATTAGAAAACAAAGCTAATACCCAAGACAAAATATCGAAAAACATCGACCAAGTTATGAGGTCGAACCCCCCACATGGACCCTTTCCATACTCTGTCTCTGTCAATGTTCATCCGTATCAAGCTCCTTCAGTGCTTCGACGCGCTTGTTAGCAAGTAGCACGAGCCGCTCAACAGGCACTTTGCCGGACTCCTTCATCGAGAGGAGCTGGGCAGACTTGATCAAATTCTTGATCTCGCGACCGTTTAGCTTGAGCGAAGAGAGTTTATCCAGCGAGTCACCAGCGAGATCGAACTTGTCCCGCCCAGCACGGTTGATGAAGTTCTCCCAGACCTGCTTCCTGGCCTCACTAGTGAGGTCGTGGTATGGCAAGAAGAGATCAACCCGAGACTGGAAGGCATTGTCAATGCTTCGAATACGATTTGTGGTGAGGAAGAGAATGCCCTGGTAGTACTCCAGCTCTCGGAGGAAAATAGAGACCAGCTCATTGCGGGCCAGCGACTCGTTGGTGCGTTCCCCGAGGAAGACGTCAGCCTCGTCGAGGAGCAGCATGGCATTCCACATGCGACAGAGCTCGAGGGCACGTCCAAGAGCTTTCTCCACTTCAGAGGGCAGTGTGCCCAGATCACCAGCGCTCATGGAGTATAGAGGGACTCGGGACTTCTCAGCCACGGCCTCTGCGGTAAACGTCTTTCCAACGCCGGGAGGTCCAAACATGAGAATGATGAGACCTCTTCCCTTTTCGGCCACAAAATCATCAAACTCGGAGGTAGACTGGCTCTTGTTCTCCACGAACGTCCAAGCGAGGTCTTTCTCTCCTCCAGGCAAGACGAGCTTTTCAAATGCCTCATCGTTCCATTGCATATCGAGGAGATCGGAGACGTTGAGTTCACAAAAGCTCTTGGATTTGAGGTCGAAGCCCTTCATCCAAGGTGTCGTCATCAACAGCTCTTCGTCGGACAGAGCATGCATCTCCTCACTTCTTTCGGCGGGGCCTTTTGCTTTGGAGCTGGTATCGACTTGAACAGCGGTGAAGTCCGCCTCGAATCCATCAGAAGGCAATGGGTCATTCTCCTCAGGGCTGTTTTCAGCTTCATCTGATGCATCGTCTGATTTGGAAATGGCAGCGGCAACTGGACGGAGGGAAGGCTTGACAATGTTGCAGCTCTTGTAGTAAGCATAAGCATCAACACACACTTTCCCGGAAACCTAGTGATTGCAATCGTTAGCAAAATGAATTAGTCGGCTCGTTTATCCTGTTGTAAAGTCTAGCTCACCGGTCTCTGCTGGGGCTCCTGCGTCTCAAGGAGGATCTTGGTCCCGTTCACGATCTTGAAATGGTAACCGCGAAGACTGGCCCATTTACGTCCGCGTTCAATCATGTCCCCTCGAATTTTCTCTTCCTCTGTGGAAAATGAGATGGGAAACACGGGCAGACCAGTCACCCTTCTGTAGCCACTGTATTCCCAGATGGTGACAGAGGTGGTCTTCCAGCCAGAAGTCTCGCCATTCCAGTCGATGAACTCCATTTCAATCGCCCAGCCTTCATTATCTTTGCAGGCGACTTTCTTATATTTGATCACTCGACAGATGACATCGACGCCGTAGAACCTGGTCAAGACGACGGAGCTGGGTGGGAAAATCTGCCAGATGTCCTCAAAGCTCACTTTGCCAGTCTGCCTAGTATGAGAGAGCGAGAGAACGGATGAGGTGACGATGGGTGTCAAGAATGCAAGCAAAGCCGACGCAGCGTTTTTGATTTTGCCTGCCTCGAGGCCTACATAGTAAGCCTTGAGATCGTCCCACCGGTGAACGAGGGGCATGAAGGGGGGCTCAAAGGTCCAGTTGATAAGATCGAGGTCCAGGTCCTGGTACTTGGCGAGGACAGCCCGGAGGACCTGGCGCATGGCAGGGTCCTGGATCGTGACCGACTGTGTCACCCAGTGCCTCTTCACGTAGGCATGCCGGTGGATGATGGGGACGGACGACACGCGCTCGTTGAGGTTGGCCTCCTCGTCGTCCACGTTGTCGAACTCGGCCCAGCGGGCCGGGCAGGAGTTGTACTCGCACTTGTGGCGGTACCACTTGCTGACGAGCCGGGAGGAGTACCCCAGCTCAGCGGCCTGGGACTCGCCGTTGCTGTTTTTCTCGAGGGGCACGACGTCGACGGTGCCTGAGAGGACCTTTACGAATCTCTCTTTCTGTGCCTGTTCTTCGGCAGCGGCTTTCGAATTTCCGTTCACAACTTCGACGGAGTCCTCGCTTGAGGTGCTTGAGGTGCCTGAGCTGGACATGTTCTGAGATTTCTGAGATGAAGGAAAGGATTTTGTTAGCATGGTGTGATATATGAGTATCTTGGGGGGGGTGGCATGGGAAAGGAGAGTAGCAGCTATGATTTCCCGTACCTTGATTTTCCGATTACTCCTTTTTATTGATTGAATCTCGTGATATGGCCGGGGCATTCTCACTAAAAAGAGCTCGCAGTGATGAGAAGAATCGTCTTGGGGGAGCGCTTGAGTAACAAAGGGCAGCAAGGTGCAAATTTAAGTAGATTTCAGAAAGGGAGATCAGAAGAGATTTTTAGTTTATACGCCAAAGGATTTGCTTGTGCATGTGTAGGAAGCGCAAAGCCACGAATAAACCCAGATACACGCAAGGCGTCCGGACGCCTTCTATCGGGCCATGCTGGATTGGAGTCTCACATGCCAAGGATCTTATCTCGTTTCGGAAAATATCTTGGATGGGCATCAAGAAGCTTGCCATAAGCCAATCATGGCGCAGGCCGGGTCATACATCGCCTCACTCCTGCGCTTCTGCCTGCTGAGCTGCATGAAAATGAAACCCAAGAAAACACTCCCCCGCTTTTTTTAGACCTTTGGAAAGTTACAGGCTGTATCATTGAGTAGTTGAGTCAACAAATGACGGATGAGTCACTGAAGCGGGCGAAACATCAATGCTATCCTATAATGTAGGACGAGAAACCATTGGTAAGCGGCTTGCCTTCGGAAGAAACAGCCAATAGGAGAATTTCATTGATATGTATTCCAACCATGCTGCTTCAATTCTCGCGATCGGGTGGTTATTATCGTTGTTGAGTGTGACGAAGACCAGTTCTGGTTACTGCAAGAGGCTTTGGCCGGGTTAGAATTCCGCAAAGATTGTCAGAGCTAATTCTACTACGCCAGCAAAAACCGAGTGCACTGCGCTGATCGCTGTGCCTAATTGACTAGGTATATAGCATCTGAGTCACGGCCGCGATATAACTTTGCGACTGCAGCTGCGAATGTTGGGGCTTCTATTAAGCTTTCGGGACGGCTCTTAGTTTTTGTTTTATTTTAAAAATTTTATAAATGTGTCAGGTGGCGAGTAAGTCGCATGTGCTCAAAAAATGCCTTTCCGTTGAAGGTTGTTTTGATTAAAATAGCCCTTTTTCTTTAACAACTCACATTGACTATGTAGCCTTGTCACACCAATAATGGTAAATTATTATTTCCCTTGTGCAGGATTGGAGCAACCGCGTTCTTCCTAAATGTCGCTGTCATTATGTCTAGGGAATGCAGTGTATGACGCCAAACATTTGTCTATGACGCCTATCACTTGCAAAGGCCTAACTTTATTTAGACTATGCACGCTATATATATTCCTCCGTATCCATAATTCTAGTTGAATTTGTACTTCATCACATATCTAAAATCACCTGAATAATCTTTAGAATGGCATCTCTCACTTCTCTATACCGCTGTCAACCACCTCTGCGTCGAATAACTTCACGTAGGCTCACCAATTTTTCTGTTCCTATTGCCAGGTCCATCAACACTGAGTCTGCGCCGCTGCTTTATTCCGCCCACGCAAAAGTTGTTGGGGCTCGCAAAGGCCATGTCGAAGCGGAGAATCTCGTTGTCGATTTAACAATGTCCAAAGCCCTCGGGGGACCCGGCGACAAGGGGAAAACCAACCCAGAGGAGCTGTTCGCGGCTGGTTACGGCGCGTGCTTCCAGTCAGCTATGAATGCTTGCGCCGCTAAGATGGGCATCAAGATGCCGACGGAGAAGGAGCACAGCGTCGTTGATACGACCGTGGAGCTTGTTGGCGATATGAAGGAGCTAGACATGGGGCTACGCGTTCACATGAAGGTCCACGTGAAAGGTTTAGAGAAGTCCGAGCTAGAAAAGGTGGTCGAGGAAGCCAAGAAAGTCTGTCCTTACTCTAGAGCGACCAGAGGAAACGTAGCAACCCGAGTTGAGGTGGTGGATTTCTAGACTGTGTTTCAAAGAACCGCACGCCTCATACTCCCTGTCTAAAATCTTGGGGTTCATTGTTCCCATCTTTGGCGGCGTTGTGTCAATTCAAATCCAAACAGAAAAACCGTATATACACCAGAAAAGATTTCCCAGCTATAAAAAGAGCATACCAGCCATTCTACCAGATATCACCTCTTATTTGGACTTCCAATACTTTGCCAGATTGCTCTGTCCTTTAACAACATCAATGAATTCTCTCGCAAACCAACGATTGGCTTGTTCTGATGGATGGAGCTCGTCGTACCAGAGAAAGCTATCTGGGTCTGGGTTCGAAAGTTTGCATCCACTCTCAATACACCCAAGATACGATCCCGTAACGTTCAGCTCAGTAGTCCCATTGAGGTAGCTCCCTGGGTCATGCCACATTTTCGAAATCTGCAGAGAAGTGATGTTAGGGAAACCAGGCGCAAGTTTAAATGATGGATAATTGAGATCCTACCAGGCTGGCGGTATCAAACAATGCGAAAGAGCTTTTCGGATAGCGCTTTGCCAGTTGGACTTCATAAGGCGTTTGATACTCAAACAAAGTGTTAAGGGTAGCGCTATATTGGCGCATCTTTTCGCTTGTGCGGGTTATGTTCGCGTCGTAAAGTGACTTATCTTTCCAGAATCTAGACGTCGGAACCCCGTTATTCTCAAGTGTCGCATATAGGGGCGTGAGTTCGAGCGCTCCCAAGTTCATAATCACGAAGAATCGACCTCCAGCCTCATACACTCGATCCAACTGTTCATATACGCAGTTACTAAACGCCGTGAGAGGCATGTCATGCGGTTGCTGCTCTGCGAGGAAACTAGCGTATCCAAGGTCATTTGTCCCGATCCAGACTGCATACACTGTTTCTTCAGCGGGGACCTTGAGCGCAGGCTGATTCGAAGTCTGATTCTTCCAGGCGAGATCTTTGAGAAAGGCTGGCACTTGGTTTTGCACAATGCCGTTTCGGTTAGTTGGGGAGAATAAAGTGTCGCACATCGCTCCGCTGACAGCATAGTCGTAGATGTTGACCTGATTTGAGTACTGTTTAATATACTGCGGCCAGTTCCGGCCACCTGTGGATGTGACTGGTTTCTATTTGACAGTGAGCTAGACTTCACGAAAAGAGTAAACGAAGGGCTGCATACGGGGTCAGGAAGGGTGCCATTCTCGTTTGGTATGTATGAGTAAATGCCCTGGTCGGTCCAGCTATCACCAAAAATAACTAATGATGAGAACTTCTTAATATTGAATTCTTTTGCGGCCACCAGGCTCTGGCAGGCCAGTGCCAAGACAGAGATGGTAGAGAGATGGTGCTTCATTTTGCCGAGTTGATCGATTCTCGACACTTGACCTGAGGGATTAGCTGTGCAGATATAAATGAAGGCATTCCGCCATCCAAATTGAATACGTGTCCATTGGTTGACTTTTATAGTTACAATGGAGTTAAGGTAAGTTCACCCAATTTATCCAACTCTACCGGTTGCCCGTGGCTAAATGGAACGATTGGTGGGAGAATTCGAGGAAACAGACAAGCTTTGCGGGGCCCCTAACGGCGGCCCTATTTACCGTAAAAGAGTCAAGATTCAATGTCACGGCCGAAGGAAGTCGGGGGAGTTGATTGAACCGCAATAAAGTCCTTGACCCTCAAGACTGAAGCTACACTCGAAGTTTATAGCCCCGAATGGTAACGAGATCAAGTGTTGTATAGAGAACGACAAAGTGACGAGGTGACAGATCGTGTATCCTGTTGCTTTTTCGTGCTCGCTTCATACAAGCGGTCCAATCCGATGCCGATCGGCTGGGCAAATCGTAACTCGGCCATTTCCTAATGGGCGCCAGATCGAATCGTAGCAGCCACAGTGCGCAACGCCGAGGCTATGGGACAATCCCAATGGTGTAAGTCCAAGAGTCCAAGCGAGACAAAAATAAACCCTGGCTCTCGCTTGCAGCACCGCGTAATAAGGCTGTTGACCCTCATGGTTGGCCAAAACTCCGGCGCAGGCCTAGCATAATGGGCCCTAGCTCTGCGCACGAAGCAAAGAAATTCAGTCTGACAGAAACGGAAGTTAGACTCCGTTCCATACTTCTCTCAGATTGCACTGGCCATCACCATGATGGGCTGTGCAAGCGACCGGTGTTGAATTCCGACGGTAACGGCGGCGGATTCCGATCCTCTGAGCTACTAACTATATAACGACCACCTCTTGATCAAATCGCCGTAGATTGATTTTATCTAGTGTTGGTAGTAATTAAATTGCTAAATCTCTCTGAATTCCCTTTGCATTTTTTTTCGAGTCACAATGACGGTTCCAATGTCAGAAGTCAAGGCTTCGAACAGCAGGATCTCTCAAGATACAGCACCACAAACCGCAGTTTTCACCGGAGCAACGGACGGAATTGGGAAGGCATCACTTGCTCGTCTGGTATCAACGAAGCTGCCCATTAGAATTTACGTCATTGGTCGTAACGGGGAGAAACATAAGCCTTTCCTGGATCAGCTCCGTGCATCTAACGAGAAGGCGGACATTATCTGGCTTGAGGGCCAAGTCTCACTCCTTGCCGATACGAAGAGGCTCTGTGAAACAATTAAAGAGCGTGAAAAGAGCCTTGATATTTTGTATACAAGTCCTGGCTTTCTCACCAAAGGGGAACGAACGGGTACGTATCAGACCAACAGCTTCGGAATGGCGAAAGCTTACTATACTTAGAAACCTCTGAGGGCCTTCCTGCGACACTGGCATTGAGCTTTTACAACCGGCTATCGATGATGATTCAACTCCTTCCTTTGCTCAACGCATCTACAAACAGCCCGCGTATCGTCAATGTGCTCGCTGCGGGCACCGAGAGTTCCGCTCTCCCGCTAGATGATCTAGAACTCGAGAAACCCGGAAACTTCAGTCTGATGAATTCTTCTAGGACAGCAGTAGCCTCTACGACGTTATCGATGTTAAGACTAGCTAAAGAAAACCCTCACGTTATCTTTCTTCATCACTACCCCGGCGGTGTGAATACAGGGCTATTCGAAAAAGCTTTTGGGGACAGGTGGTTCTTCGGAGCTGCTGGATTGATTCTCTCCCTAGCGGCAACAACACCAGAGGATGCCGGGGAGAAGGTCGTGTACCTGATGACCAGCGCAAAATACGGGGGTCAAGGCGTCCCGCTTGGAGCCAAATTGAAACTGGGACTTACCATGGATAAAACCCGACAGGGAGGCTCACTGTTTCTAGTCAACGATAAACTTCATGAGCTGCAACAGGAAAAGGTCATGGCGGAGCTCGACAGGTTGAACGCGGGGGAAATCATCTGGGGAAAGCTGCAAGAGAGGATTGCGCAGTTCTCGTAGTTTACTTGGGGGTTCCAAGAATTCTTTTGTTTTTGTGGTGTTTTCCAATACCTAATTAATTTTTTAACAGTATCAACAAAGGCTTAACAAATTACCTAGTCAACGAATTTTCAATAAAAGAAATGGTCAAACATTTGCCCAGTCACGAGATTTTCGCACAGCAACTATTCTCGTGCAGCTCATCTCGGTTTCTAATGTAATTTAAAACTCTTACTGTATTACCTAGTAGTTGTAAGCCATCATTCCCACACAATTCTTGATAGCCACCTCAATAATCTTGTGAGGATGCACAACCCCGAATCACAAGTTAGAGGACTATCTCATTTTAGGCTAGACAAATCTGCACGAACGGACTCAACTCCGTTCTCTGGCTTATCCAGGTGTCTTTATTCGCCAAAAGAGTGGGCAATAAGCGTGGTTCCGGATATGGCATGGACAGGATTTCAGTGTCCGAACTCCGAAAGACATGACGCGGAGGAGGGCTGGGTTACTTGCCTTGTACACATACATCCAGCGGAATCCAGGCCGTTGAGCTATTCATGAGCTGATATACGCGAATCTGCCATTAATTCGTCCCTTGAGTACTGCCAAAGCCTTGCCTGGTAATGGAGAAGCAACCTCAAGGTCCGCAAGCCAGCACATACGGTCTGGCCTGTGTACAATGCTACAAGGCGAAAAGCCGCTGTGTGGCTCGCCCTGGCGGCAGTTGCGAAAGGTTAGTAGATTTTATAGACGGGAGTTGGGAGTAACGTGATTTAGCTGAATTTGACCGTCTACTAGATGTTTCCGGCTCAAAAGACAATGTCAAGCATCAGAGTCCCAGCGAAAACGTGGTCAGCAAACCCGCGAAATGGGTGTGCAGATTGCGCAGCTAGAGAACAAAATCGAGACACTCACATCGATGCTGAATTCAGTCGTCAAAGCCACGGGAGTATCGGTTAATCCATCTTCATCAACGCCTGGCGGGTATCTGGGGACTATCAATCCAGATGGAGGGATTATTCCTGGGCTGACACCGATGAGCAATGTCAGCCCGTTATCTTTTCCATCAAACCAGAGCTCTTTTCAAACAGATGAATCTTCGCATTCATCCTCGCCTCGATTATATGAGCCCTCAGACAGCGAGGCAGACCACTATTTCCAAGTCTTCCAGAACCAGATGTTACCGCTTTTCCCGTTCATTCATATTCCTCCTACCATGACGGCAAGTCAGCTTCGGCAAAGCAGGCCTCTCTTGTTCCGAGCCATTGTTGCTGTAGCTACATCTTCGACAGAGCATAAGCTGAGCCGCATCGATGGCTTAAGATTCATCTGGGCCAAGTCAGCTTTGACCCAGGACGATTCAAACATCGACACCCTGCTGAGTATCCTGACTTATATTACTTGGAGCATTGACCCTTTTATGAAACGCACAAGCAACCTATCACGTATGATGATGTTGGCCATCTCCTTGGTGTATGATTTGCAAAAGGCCAGGCCACCTCCACCAGAGGTTCATGTGGTAGCAAAAATGGCGCCGGGTCTTGGTATTGCTGACGGTGAAGCAGCTGAGCCGCTGAGCAAAATCTTTTACCTGGAGCAACAACGAGCTATTTTGGCCTGCTTCGTACTAAGCTGCTAGTATGTATAGTTCCATTGTGCCATTTACTGTTGCATTCTCCCACATGGGACTGTCTGAGCCTTTCCCCGCTGACATGAGCATGCTCTTAGTATCTCCTCATACTTCCGACGGATAGATGCCATCCGGTGGACTTCACAAATGGAGGAAGGGCTGCGTGCCATCAGCGAGAATGATGAACGCTCCTTGTCCGACGAAGCTTTCGTTTTTCAGGTCCGGCTTCAACTGCTGGCGCAGAGAGTCGCTGAGGTTCGAGGGCATAATAATAACAACTCTTCATCGCCGCCGAATCCGCCCTCGATATACGTCAAATATCTTCAGGGGCAGCTCGATCAACTGAGAGCCTCGCGATCTCCAAACTTACCACACATGGGTATGCTTTCCAGGACTCGGTCTCTGGTGCCCAGGTGTGATCATCACTACTGACACGGCCATAGATGTGCTCAGTGCATCATCACACTATGTCGAGCTTTGCATTAATGAGACGATTCGTCAAGCTACGTCGAGCGAGCCTCTGCTCCCCGCATCAATGTCTGCCAATGCTGGGAGCAATGTGCCTGGATTCGAACCCGTCGAGTGCCTATGGCGAATCCTTCACGCCGCCAAGGCTTGGCTGGACTGCTTCCGCACCGTCTCGCCTTCTCTGTACATAGGTTTCCCCTTCTTTTATTGGTTTCAACTTGTGCGCTGCCTGGTGATTTTGAAGCACTTGGCTGTTTTCGAGGACCCTGCCTGGGACCGAGCCGCTGTGTATAGCACAGTCGACCTCCTGGCGGTGTTGGAGTGGATGGCTACAAAGTCCGAGTTGGCGAGCAAGGCAGCCAATGAACAGTCTGGTGATGATATGTTCCGGCAGGTCTCCAAGTGCCTGCGCCTGAGCCAGATGTGGGTGACGGCAAAACGGGACGCGGCGGCCTCAGCGGCACAGGGGCCAACTTCGCTCCCTTGCGATGAGGCTCATTTGGTGGACTTTGACCAAGCGCCCTGGATGAACGAGTTGGCAATGGGAAATGAGTCATGGATAGAAGAGTTTTTCGATTGGTCTCCGGGGACGCTGTAGATAATCGTCAATTGGCCATGGGCATTCTGCCGCGCATAATCTGCATCGGCAGCCAGATGACAGGCAATTGTATACCACTCTTTGAGAGTTCGTTCATGTCTATTGCGTGTCTCGGTAGGAACATGAGAAATTTGACAAGGGCATCCATTAATCGCATTTCCATTTCAGCTGATCACCATTATATCCATGCAGCCAGCGTCCAGCGCTGTGGATGTTACTCTCTTGGCATTATTGCTGAGATTGGCTGGCTGGTGACTATTTCGTATTTCTGATGGTATGGCGTAAATAGTGTCATGCGTCTTGCCATTCTGGGCTAGAATGTCTCAAACACATATCAGCTCTCAGCTGAACTCTGAAGCCAGGGTAGTAATTCATTGACGAATGAGGATGAATTGATTGAGAATATCACATCACATGCATATTCTGAGGCCTTCACAATCAAATGGGAAGGTATCAAATCACCTCAATTGGATCACGCATTGGTGAAGTGATCACACTGGGTTATGGACAGCTCTGGCACTGATGACCGATTGTTTCCATTCTATTGCAAGTCCATCTCCCTGATCCTTCCTTGTCTAAACTAGCAGCCAGCAGTCCTTGTCTGAGATCGACAAGACTAGCTGCCACCCGCGTCTTAGTACAATAATGGAAGTAGCTGGGGAGGGTACTAGCCTCCTCACGCATGTAGATGTAGGTCTTGCTCCTCCCTTCCTCCCATTCTCCATGAATCCTGTTTCTCTTCCTATTGTTTACCTAGTACTCTCATCCTAAAACACCGTCAAGGATGCCCAAAGACAAGCCGGCAGTCCCTGTGGTGCCTACAGCGAAAGCTGCAGGCCACGCATCCAATGCCAGGGCATGGCCGAAACCCTCCTCGTTCTTCAAAGACCGTCGCCGTCAGCAGTCTGGCGGCTTTAGTGTCCCTCAAACCGGGACTCTCACAGACCTACAAACCCTGAGGCTCTATGATCTGGGCACAATCCGTCTCTTCCGTGCAGCCGAAAAGGCCGGCTACTACGATGATGAGAACATGCTATTGGAGAGGCTCATTCAGCTTCTTTACAAGCTCCCACGACATTCCCGGAGAGGAAAGCTTCTGACTGACGCCTTCATCACCAAGCTTTGGTCCACGCTGGACCATCCCCAGCCGACGCCCATTCCCACTCTCATGGGCCAAGAAAATCGGCACCGGATGGCTGATGGATCAAACAGCAACCCGTATTTCAGGACCCTTGGAGCAGCGGGAACTCCATATGCGCGTTCCGTAGCACCGATGGATGTGCAGAGCCCAGATATGCCGGATCCAGGACTTATTTTCGACACACTGCTATCGCGCAATGGTGAATGCAAGCCACACCAATGCGGCATCTCCAGCATGATGTTTTATCTTGGTGTCATTATCACGCATGACATATTCCAAACGGTATGATAAGCCCAGCCTCCTTCTGTCCCTCCAATGTACGCTCATCATATCATAGGGTGGCCGCGATGGCGCAATCAACTTGGCATCGTCATATCTGGATCTCGGTCCTCTCTACGGGAACTCGTGGGAGGAGCAAAAGGAGATGCGGCAGTTCAAGAACGGCTTATTGAAGCCCGACTGTTTTGCTCACAAGCGCTTGCTAACATTCCCTCCCGCCTGTCGCGTGTTTCTGGTCATGTTCAATCGCTTCCACAATTATGTGGTCGAGCAGCTTGCCAGGTTTGTTTCCTCTTTCGCAGCGAGAATGATTCTCGTACTAACATTCCGGTAGCATCAACGAGGCTAATCGCTTCAAAAAACCGACCTCCACGCCCGACTCAAACGACCCCGATGATCAAAAAGCGTGGGAGCAGTATGATGAGGATTTGTTTCAGACTGGGCGCCTGGTAACCTGCGGCTTATACGTCAACATTATTCTCAAAGACTACGTTCGTGCCATATTGTGCCTGAACCGCACCGATTCGACATGGACGATCGATCCGCGGACAAACATGGACCGACACGCACAAAAGACTACGGCACCCACGGGCGTTGGAAATCAGGTATCTGTCGAGTTCAACCTTCTATACAGGTGGCACAGTATCTTGTCTTCACGCGATGCCGAATGGATTGCCGAGGAGATGCGACAATTGCTGGATGGCAAAGACCCGGAGACGGCCACATTTCATGAGATGATAACGGCATTTCAAGCTTGGGAAACGGCATTGCCAACAGATCCGCATCAGCGAGATTCTGTACCGGGGCTCAAACGTCAATCTGATGGGGCCTACAGTGATGGCGAGCTGGTGGACATTCTGCGTGCCAGCATTGAGGACACAGCTGGCAGCTTCGGTGCCAACTCTGTTCCGCGCTGCTTACGACCGGTCGAAATTCTGGGGATTCTTCAGGCCCGTCGATGGCGAGTGTGTACGCTCAACGAGTTCCGAGCATTCATCGGCCTGTCGCGGCATCGAACCTTTGAAGATATCAACCCTGATCCCGCCGTCACAGCAGGTCTCAAGAGTCTGTACGGAAGTCCAGCAAACGTTGAGCTGTATCCTGGACTGATGTCGGAGAAGACCAAACCGCCCATGGCGCCTGGCAGTGGAGTATGCCTCGGCTTCACCTCTAGCAGAGCTATCTTATCGGATGCTGTGTCCCTTGTACGTGGCGATCGCTTCTACACGGACGACTTCACGCCAAAGAATCTCACCAACTGGGGGTTCGCCGAAGTCGACTCTGATTTCGACGTTGACAGCGGAAATGTCATGTACAAGCTCATCTTCTGCGCCTTCCCCCATCATTTCCAACGGGACAGCATATACGCGCACCATCCCCTTGTCACACCTAGCGAAAACAAGGTTATCTTTGAAGGCTTGAAGAAGGCGTCCGAATATACTTGGGATCCACCCAGCCGTAATGCAAATATTGCCATCGTGAAAGAGTCTAAAGAGCCAGGGAAAGAAGATCGAGTGAGCAATGACCACACGCAACCGAACGGATCGTCACTTGCAAGCTCAAAGCATGTGGTCACCGATTTTGTCGTCCTTACGTCGGCGAACCGCTTAAAGTCACAATCCTACAGCGTGCCCAATCCTTCATCGGATCATGACAGTCGAGGCATTGACGTGGTGAGCGAGGTGATCAGCTCGACATTTGTGCGGCTGACAGCTGAGATGTTCTCACTGAGCCTCAAGGCAACGAGCGACAAACGTCGAGGTGCCTATACAGATGCTCAACTGGGTACAATCCTATCTGTTCTGTATGCTGCCGAGTCGCCGAGACTGAGCCTGGGAAGATCTTATGAGCTTCAACGCCAAGCACGGGATTTGGTAGTCCGCTTCAGGAAGGAGATCCCGCTTTCTAAACTAACAAAGAGCTTGTCAGACAATTCCAAAATCTCAGTCCGTAGCTACGGTCAGAGACTTACCACGTCTCAAAAGCTAAGGGATAACGAGAAGCTGGCCGATCGTGTTGCAACTCTTGTGGCCTGCTCCGCCATGGTCCCCGTATTGCTACTGTCTGAGAGCCTAGATTACCATTTGAATTAAGGACCCGAACACATGGAGAAACTTAGAGCTATTTCTCAACAGAAAACAGATACGAGTGAACAAGTACTCATACGGTAGTAAGTGATTGATATCTTACATTGAACGTCAACTCCATGCGATATATCGCTAACATTCTCAGTCTCCTTAATGGTTGCTCGCTACGAGGTGACGATAGTTCAACCGAGGATTTGCACTCTCCAACTTCCTCGGCTACCAGCGGTGCCGCTTCTACAAATACTCGTGCCTTGATCGATTACTTCCCCGAGGGTACCAATTCCGATGATCTCAAAATTTGCATAGAAGCAATGGCAGCACTGTTCAAAATCATAGTGAGCCTTCCTGGCCTTCGAAGGGCGCCAGGTGCCCCGGGTCACCTGGCAAGCGTACCTGCAGTACAATGGCACGGCCAGACAGGTCGCCAATCAGGCCCAGAGGAAGGCCAGTCAATGTACATGACGAGCGACCGTAGCTCATTCTGGCCTGTTCCGGTGACGATGAATATTGTCTGGGATTCAAATTGAAACAGGTGCATGAGCGGCGGTGAGTATAGGTATTTTGTATCATTCAGCAGCATTAATATCAGTAGCCTACAACCCTATTTTTCTTTGATTTTCTTGAAAATCGGTCGCGTCCGAATAATTAGACAAGTCAAATCCTATTCCTCGGTCCAACCAATTTTCGTTTGCTCAACATGTCAGGTATCGCAAGGTTTTGGCATCAAAGTACTGCTCCATGATGGCCGTATGACTTTTGTCATGTCCAGGCTCAAGCACGCTGTGTCGAAAGGTTCGTGCCGTATGTTCGTGTAGCCTCGTCGGTTCCTCCCCTTCACCCATGCTTACCATTGCACGACCGACCAGATGATATTCTTTACGGGTTCGTTTCACGGGGGCTCCTCTGTAGAATTTATGGTCTTCCGCGTCTCCCATGTGACGGAATACAGCGGCCACGTCGCACTTTTCAAAGCGACATAGGTAGTCACCTGTGCGGGCGTCGCCTACTGTGTATACTCTCAGCCCCGAGTCTGTCTCGAACACTCGGGGCTCGGGCTTGTGATCGCAACCTGTGGTGGTGGAACAAGGTATCGCTGGTTGCCCGCATGACGTGTGGTGTATGTGGATGGCATTGAAATCCCAGTCAAAGGGTGGTGTTTGATCCTGCCATTTCTGACTGAAGATGAAGTCTCGTGAGTTACACATGCTACTCTTGTCTTTGCTTGCATCTGAGCGTTGGCGGTGCCACGGTCTGAGCCGTGTCCGGTCGCTGTCACTGAGTTCAGAGATGTCGGCTGGTCCCAGATCATTTTTTAAAATCCCCATTATATGGCCTTGAGATTCAAATAGTTCTCGATCCGATGAGAAGGATTGTCCAGTGAGGGACTCCGAATCTGCCGCCGACGGGGATTCTCCAAAGAGGAGACGACAAAAGAACTGGCTGAAGGCGATTGTTGATTGATAATGGCCGTGGATTTCTCTTTCTTTAATATCCCGGCAGCGACTCATTTTCTGTTTCCAAGAAGCATCCCGATGGCGCGGATGGTACGTCTCGAGCTGCCTCTCGGTGTGGGAGGCAGATATCCATTCCTCGGAGCCACCATATCTCCTCAGTCCAAGCATCTGCTGGAAGAGCTCAACCAACGATATCATATAGTCGGCCTTGAGTTCCTGGAGGGTATTCCGGTGGCTCGCCAGCCTGCCATTCAAACCTAAAAACCCAAAGGCCTTGTCCCGTGGATCAGAGCACTGGCTGTCCTCAAACATCCTCCAATACGACAACAAATCGCCACCTATGTCTCGCCTCATCCGCAACTCGATAATCTTAGCGGCGGGGCTAGTCAATAAAGGATGACTTGACCAAGAGAACTCCGCCTTGGCTTCTAATAGTCGAAACACGTCCTCCAGAACCTTCCAAGGTACGACATGGAACCCATACACAATCAAGACGTCGCGAGCAAGAATCAGCTCTTGCACAATCCACACTCTCCTCCAATAGTCATTCTCGAAAAATAGCGCGAGCCCAGGTAGCGCGTTGTTTGTTTTATGATCTTGCACAAGTATCTGTAGGTCCGACAGCATATTAAAGAGCCCGCCGCCGGCGGTGTCGCGTCCAAACCAGATGTAAACATGATCGGCCCCGGTGTAAATGTCGCCCATTATAGCTACCTGCTGATTTCTCTCTATCACGTCTGCCTGGTTGATACAGATGGCGTCTATCCAAAAAGGACCCTGAGGCCCCTGCCATCGCTCGCCCCCAACTCCTCTTGGCCGCCGCAGATGCCATAGTCCCCACCACAGCTTTTCCGATACCAGGAATGTTTGTTCATCAACCTGGATCGGTAAGGAACCTGTACCTGTACCCCACATATAGGAGATGGCGGAATAAGAGGTCCCGGGACGGGCTACTTGCAAGCTGCAGGTAATGGGTTCCAACTCATCGCCGATGTCGATATACAACAGCCGGAACGCGTCCGAACTGGCTTCCAGCGACTCGTACTGATAGAAAGCCCTGGAGCTGAGCGATTTGTGCGAGTTGCATATCTCTTCGTGCGAGATATGCTTGGCTCTGCGGGGGATAAGCCAATCACGCACGTCGAGATGGAGGTTGGAAGTATAAAAGCCGGCAGGGAGAGCCGGCTGAATCTCGTACTCCATGAATGAGTGCTTCACCGATGAAACAGATGTTGAGGGCAAAATTCGTCATGATGCTTTGGATGATTTTGGATCGACATCCAATTGGCGCGGCAAGAATCAATTGAGAGCGGGGTTGTGAAGTTGGAGCTGACAACACAGCCAATGCATTTGCAATATTGAACTATTGAGCAGCGGTCTCATGCAGGCGATGAGGGGCTCAGGCATCCTCTGCTTGCTTGATCAGCTCTGCCTCATGCAACCCACCGAGCGAACCATCGATGGCTGCGTGAACGATTCAACACTAGATTTACTTCACAGATTTTCTCATCAAGTGCTGCATAACATCCTTGTCTCCGTTTCTTGTTTGTTGTCTCTATGAACAATATAATCGTATCGGGCAGTCAGCGTCTAATTAACGAATTAGATTATTGGGAACTATGCGCCTTTTAGGTGAGACAGCTTTATTTAAATTGGAAGGTAATAAGGTACTTAATATCTTGATCCAAGAATATTTAGTACCTGTGGGGGTATGGCATGTTGACGTGGCTCCTGACAAGAGACTCTATTAACCGCTGTGGCTGCAGGTTGGCCATGCATGCTTATGGTCGAACGAAGGGCAATCATACTGACCGAGGTTGCTGACATCCTAATATGGATATCTGCAGTTTCATAGGTTGGTCACTGGTAAAACTAGGCGTGTTTTGGTGACGTCAAGCATTACTACCCAAATTATCACTGCCCAAAATAAATATCTGCAGCTTTGTGTAGCAGTGGTTGGGGACTGGTAAGACTGGGCGCGTTTTAGTGGCGTCAGGCATGAATATATCAATCAAGTTCAAACAATAATGGCACTTGGCTCAAAAACCAACCTCTCTTGGATCTATCTACGCGTTTTACTGAATGCTCCCTCAAATCTATCCTCAATATCGGCTCACGTTCAACACTCCCTTAATATGATGCCACGCTGGAGCCTTTCATTCCTCCTAGTGCTATTGCAGGTCGCTCATGTGGCGGCAGATAGCGGCGATGATTTCATTAACAACCTGTTTTCAGACCTTGCGCCGTGGGTTGCCCCTTACTGAGATATATGTGGTGAAAATGTGGCCAAGACCCTCTCAGCTAATAGTATATGGGACGCAGAATCCTCGCACTATTTGGTGAACGTGTGACTATGCAGTTCCTTAGTCAAGCCATGGGGTTCGCGGACTGCGTCTTACTTGCTATGGCCCCTCTCGGTATACTTACTATCATTGTAAGCGCGATCAGAGTCAAAGGTCCACCTTGGTTGAAGAGTATTATTGGGCGGGCTAGGGAGAATCTCTCTACTGCCGAAATTGAATTAATGTCGTCCACTTCAAGAGAGGTCTGTGAGCTCTGGAATGGTCTAAATCTGGTTAGATGTCAAGGATCTGCTGAGATATGGCAGTTTATATGCTTGATACCAGACTCAGTCAAGTCCGGGGGTGATAAGCATCCCCAACATGAAGTGGAAATCAAGTCACTAAGAGACATGTTAGAAGAAAAAGTTCTTGTCAACCAGGGTTCGTGTCCTCCCTCTTCAATCAGCAAAAGAAGCGAGGTGCTAAATTGCTTCAGGGATGACAGAATATCTCAACGTCAACAAGTCCAGAGGGGATGAAGAGTGCAGACCCGGAGTCCATCAAACTACGACAGTGGCAGCTTCAGCAGTACCATCCGAATATCGGAATCACCAACAAAGCCAAGCACATGACGGGCCAAGAGATCTAGATAGAGAAATCCCAAGAGATCGATTAGTAGACCGGGCCAAAGGGGAACCGAAAATAACAATTGTTCGAGACATGACAACTAACGCCGCACCGAACATATCACTCAATAGCCATGACAGCAGGCGAATGGAAACCACTGTGTGGGCAGTTATTAGTATCCTGGTTCAACTTGGAGTTCTTGCGTTCTACTGTTGCACCATATACTATCAACCATGGAAACACCGCTTCTCCAAGAACGATAAACAAGTGGTTTGGTATGCATTTCCTGCCGTCGCTGCTGGAACTATTGTTCTGGTGCTAGGATTGCTAATCTGTGCCTTTGTTGTGGAGCAAAGCACCAGAGAAGACCGATATAAAACTATGAATAGTGATAAGATCCGGATGGTATGGTTGCAAAAGCATAAAACTGTTAATGACCAAGTGTTCAACTCTTTTGCGATCTACCCATCCAGCGGACCAGAACAGCATACTTTTATAACTTCTCACCGAAAAGATGAACAAGGTCAACCAGACGAGCCCAAAAAGAAAGGCTCACTTGGTTCCACAACATTAGCCAAGTTTACCGCAGTATTGCAAAGTCTGGAGACACTCACAACACTTGGCACATTTCTCTCTCTTTTGGGCTTCTTTTTTCAGTTTACTGGCATACGTGCTATGAACTGGAGGGCTTCACTTGTTCAACTCGGCGCGATTATTCTGATGACAATCTTGCGATCATGGGTTCGGCGTGGATTTTCGAGAGCCCCAGGATCAACACCTCTAGTTCCAGGGTTCGAACTTGATTGGTTCGCTCTTTCTTTGGTGCATCCATACAACGAAAGATGGATGGGATCTACAATTAGTGACAATAGTTCTCGGAGTAAAGCCCTAGGTAAGCCCGAAACACATGAGGCATCATGGACCATCGCTACTGGGGGTACACAAAAGTACAATGCTTTGACGACAAAAAAGCCAGACACATGGGAGGGATGCATCGCGCAGCAAACAATGATTTTTCGCAGAGATCTAGGTGAACTTGCGAAGTGGCGAGGGCCAGCCCAGGCAGAAGCTGTCAAGCTGTCGCTGGCAATAGAAGCAGTCATAGATGCGCTCCTACCTCAAACAGGGTCCAAGAATATACCGGCACCTTTTGTCTGGAAATTGCCTGTATGCAATTATCAGGACTCTCGCCAACAGACTCTTCCAAAAGACACTCCTCCACAAGAGATTTCAATCGAAATCAAACATAAGAATGGGAAATGGAGCATTGATTCACGAGAGATCGAGGCTGTGTTGTCCTTATGGCTGTACTGCATTAGGAGCCAACAAAAGGGCAATGAGAGCGATGATCAGAGGATCGAAAAAACTGACTCTAAATTTCGCGTAAAAGGCGAACGAGAAATTGGTTTAAGAATTCTATGTTCAAAATCGAGAGCGAAAACTTTACTTCAACAACTTCATTGGTGGATGCCGGATCCTGGTCCTGAGATCCTAGAAGCCATTATCACAAGTACTAGCAAATCGGAACCTGGCTTCCAAAAAAACATGCAGGTATCAAATGAGAGAATAGTCGGATGTGGAGCGATTGATTTGTCACCTTTTCCGAATTCTTCGATGTATTTTCACTATCGTGCGGCTCAACTCAAAGATAACCAAGAGACTTTAGATTCTGGAGCGGCTCCAGTTAACGAAGGGGACATAAACCTGAAGTCCGTTCTCGCTGTTATGTGCTTTGATAGTTTGGAACAACTCTACTCTAGGGATTTATTCTTTAGTTTTGTTCGAGCTGTCAGTAAGCTACCTGATGCTGAATTCGAAGGACTGTCTACTTCTTCTGCGAATTCGGAAAACCAAGATACTTGGCGGAAGGCAAAGCTCCAAAATCAGGGCCTCTCTGACCTGATCCAAAAAATTAAGCTAATAGGCTTTGGTGATGAGTCAAACGTTTCCTTTGATCTAATCATACCGCTTAGCCTTGAGGGCAAACTTCCAGATTCAACTGCTGTGGTGAAAACAGCTCAAGAACAAGCCCAAAAACTCGAGTTGACCCATAGATGGGATGAATTAAAGAACCTGGCATGCGATCTTCTTCAGTTCGTAAATGCATCGGATCCTTACTGCACCATTCAGTGCCAATTCTTTGCCCTTTTTCTGGAATGCGCTTGCAGAATACACGCCGCGATTGAGCTTGCAACCAAAGAAAGCCGCTACGCATATGCCGACTCCCCGCCAAGAGAGCTGTTAAAAAACATTTCTCTTCATAGCAAGCCACCAAACGCTCCCTACTTCATGACCTTAGCCAAATTCCGAGCCAGAAAATGGGACCCTGACCTAAAGTTTCTTAAGGAAATTCTAGGAGAACACCAAAGCATTGATATAAACACACAAACGTTCCCAAAAGGGTTCAGAATCAAGGAAGCGCACCTGTTGGTCATGGGCGTAAAACAATGGGACAGAGAACAGCAGCAGCCTGATGGTCTATTTGAACCAGACGCTCTTGGCTGGTATCCTATTCATCATGCTACTACTTTTTCTGATCTTAAGCTTGGTAAATACGTAATTGATGATTACGACCCAAACGTGCGAGATCTGTGGGGATGGGCTCCGCTGCATAACGCCTGCCTGAGAGGCGATGCAACTTGGGTCGACGAACTCATTGATGCTGGAGCTGAAACCAGTGTTGTGGCGACTGATGGAGTTTCGCCCATGCATTGTGCCGCCAAATATGGAAAGCTCGAAGTGGCCAAGATGCTGCTCAAAGAAGAGGGGTCAGAGGACGTTGTGTACAAGAGACAAACTCGCACCGACCTGAATCAAAGACACCCCATTCATTGGGCTGCTGTGGAAGGCCATAAAGTTTTCGTTAAATTGATGGTGGGCGACAAGGACTTGCAAGATCGGTATGGTTACACTCCTCTACATTTGGCAGTTCGTTACAAGCGTTTTGATTTTTTGACCCAACTTGCGGAATGTGGAGCAAACCTATCTATGTTCGACCAAGACGGGAGAAGTCCACTGAAGGTTGCCATCCAATATGATTTCACTGAAGGGGCTGAAAAACTTCTTGAAATCGGAGGCTTTGACATAATGGCCCATTCTAAATTTTCCCGGTGGGGAGACACACCACTTGCGTTCGCTGTTTGGCGAAATAGCCGAAATATGGTAAATATATTACTTAAAGCCGATGCAGACAAGACTATATCAGCAAATAGGCTGAACCCTCTTTGCATAGCTGTCCACGAAAAGTTACATCAGATGAAAGATATACTCATTGAAGCCGGTGCTTCAAGATGTACAGATTCCCAGAAATGTCTATATTGTACGGATGGAAGAGCAAGGGCGAGTTTTTTTACAGGCTATGAACGCTGGTTTAAAGGGATTTCATAAACAGAAATTAGGGAAAGCTTAGAAGAGTAGTAACAAGTAGTAAATAAGCATTTTATAAGGAGTTAACTAGCAAAAGGCTATCTATATATTTACTAAGTATAGAGATCTAATAACTTTAATTCTATCTATACTCTAAGAACCTATCACTATAGAAGGCCATAATTAGAGGAGAGGGCTTAAAATAGAAGGGGATACTATTTTAAACAAGTATCTTAAGGGGCCCATATATTCTAAGCAACTTCTTAACGAGAGATCATTTGCTTTCGAATTGGTATGGTGGTATATGACAGTGTTTAAGCAAAACTTGCTTATGGATAGTCTCGCTGGTGGTGCAAGCCTTGCCTTCTAATTGTCGACATCCAAATTATTGATCCCCTAAATATTGGCCAAACATGGCTCACCGTTGGGATTGCCTTTGAGCCGGAGGAGGGCGTCTAGGGTATGCAATAAGTTCGAAGGAATGACGGAAAATGAGCTTTGACGTCACTTGTCAGCAGGTTGCATTAGCGCAGCACGTGCAATCTCCTTATTATTAATCACGCCTCATACCCCGGTCGTGGTGGACGAAGGTCTTGTCAGCCGGGTGCATATGTACATGTAGGAGACGAACTTGGACTTGTAGGGGTCATCAGTTGGCGTGGGCACCTCATGAGTATATTCCCATCATTCTCTCATCATGCAGTCCAACCATGTTGCCCATCATTCGCACATTGACTTAGTCTCCATGCCCCACGAGGCCTATCTGTGCAGTTATGGAGAAGACTGGGCGGGGATCACGAATCAAAGGGAGAGAAGAAAGTTGCAAAACAGACTCAACCAGAGAGCTCGTAAGCCTGAAACAAGAAAAATACACTGGCTGTGCATGTGACACTAAACTGTGGTGTAATTAGGTCGCCGGAGGAAAGCTCAGCGCGGGGGTGCCGGAGAGGATGCGCCCGCCTCACACCAAAGACCATGCACGAGCATCATTGTCTGCTCCGAAGACGACACGATGATGGGGGAGGCGACAGCAGACAATGTGGATCGAAAACGTGGGATCTTACATCAATTTGCCCAGAGTGCCCTGGCAAGCTACGCAAGATGTCAGCCAAGTGCAGATCACCTGCTTCGACTGATCCAGCATAATGTCGTGGAGAGCCTCACCGTGAATTCGGCTATGTTAGGCTTCACTGTCGACTGGCTTCTATGTAGCTCAGTTTCTCCCTTTACTGTCTATGTGCCGGAGAAGGACTCGGATGGCGGATTCTTCCGGACAGTGTGCCCCTCGAACCTCCTTCCGACTACGCTCCAAAAACGAATCCCGCATCATCCATGGGTCGACCTGTTCCCTCTGCCTCAGATGCGTGATAATTTACTGCTGGCTATCTCGCATAGTCTTTTCATAGATGGAGAGCAGAAGCTCTGGGACGATATGATTGAAGTATGCGGCCAGACAGACTGGGGTGGCATGATAGTGTGGGGTGAGCCCTGGGACCCAAGGAATTGGGAGGTAACCCTGCCATTCTTCAAGCGATGGGGGTGGCTGTTGTACGGGTGTCATGAAATTTTAGAGGCCACGAATCATTGGCGAAGGCAGAGAGGTGAAAGGCCGTTGGAATATCCGTAATCGAGCCATACCTGAAGCCCTGAGATATCAATCAAGCTATGCATCCACCTCTACTTCTTTCAAGTTATGATGGATTTCGTAGATCAAAATTCCAATTGAATATTGCCAACACTACCCAAGGGTGCTATGAATACCTCTACGTATTGCTCATATTCTAGCCCTTGACGATGGTGTTCATCTAGGGGAGTAAATTAGGTTAAGCTTCGACAAGGATGATCAGCAACTCGCATATGAGTGGAGCATTGATCCATCCCCCGAACCCCAAAATCGTTCTGGTTGCTTCCTGGAAGTTAATGTCCTTCCATCATTGGCTATGGCTTGGTCTTTTGATGCTTCTATTTCTAAGCAATAAATACTTCATGAACATAGAAGTGCGTTTCTACCTGAGCAATGGCTCTCCTTCTGAAATGTATAAAGGGGCCAGGCTTTCTCCTAAGTTGACCTTGAAGTTACTCACCGCAGACTCATCAAGCATTCAATCGCCCCGCTACTTGGAACATCGCCATCCTCACGGCATCATGTCTCTCCATATCACCGTCTTCCCCGCCTCAACACAATCCGGCAAGGAGGCCATTCGTGCCCTCCTAGAGTCAGACAGCAAGTCCACGGTCAAAGCCATCTACCGCAACCCAGCCAAAGCACCAGTCGAGTTCAAGGAGCACCCAAACTTCGAGGCAACACAGGGAGATGTTGCGACAGGCGAGGGGCTAGACTTCAGTAGCTCCCAAGCCATTCTGTATATACCCCCGGTGACTTATGACGGTACTGATCAAGGCCAATTCGCTACCCAAACGGCCCAGAATGTCAAAGAAGCGATCCAACGAGCCCCAAGCCTCAAAAAGCTGATTCTCCATTCTGCCATGGGAGCGCAGCACGACCATGGAACTGTACGTATCGAATAGATGTGCGTGAAGATCAGAGACTGACAAAGATCTAGGGTGTGCTCAGATTGAACCACATTTCTGACAGAATTCTCGAATCGGTACTGCCAGAGGTGCAGATTGTCAAACCCGGGTGGTTTTTCGAAAACTGGACTGATGCTCTGAAAACCATGCGCTCAGACAATCCGAGCTTTGAGTCCACCTTTTCACCACCGACCCATGAAATCCCCATGGTATGCTTGCCCTCTAAATACGATGATTGACTCCGACCCTGTGACTTAATTACTGATAATTGTGCAGTTGAGTGTGAAAGACGTCGGTGATTACCTCGCCCAGGCTCTCCTTGACACTACCAGCCGGCCAGGTATTTCCAGTGTCAGCTTGTTTGGTCCTAGGCACTACAGCAGTCTGGATGTGAAGGAGGCGCTCGAGCAAGTCACTGGAAACAAGGGTGAGCTCATCACGATTGAGAAGGATAGACTGGCCACATATTTTGCTGCCCATGTGCCTCCGGCTTATGCCCAGGAATTTGCGGACATGGTTATTGCTACGCTACTTGGAGGAACCATGGCGGGCGATTTTGAGTATGGAGAGAACACGGTTAGGGGAAAGACGGAATTGGTCGATGGCTTGCGTGAGCTCTACGCGAAGCAAACAGAATAGATGAACTTGGAGGAGTTCAAGAGAGAAATGTGCCTTGTCAATCAATTGTGTCAAGATCAAGGTGAATATATATCGTTGGGAGACTTAGGTCATGCTTAAGAATCACCAGCTTGTCTTTCCGGGGATCATGGTAGCAAAACTTCTCAATTCTTGACTGAAATCAACAACGGACTAGGATTATATCACCTCACTGTCTACCGGCCAAAAACCCAGAAGATGTATGATCTTGTTTCTCTGTTCCTACGTCTAGTCCCTTCGATGCACCTAATGTTCTCGGGTTGATGCTCTTATAAGTACAATAAAGGTAAGTTAGAGATTGAAATAGAAGTATGATACGACGAAGGAGTTTTCTTTCTCTTCTCCTATGAATGTTCCCGGTTGTCAACGTGATATGATTGGGAATATTTGCCTAACCTCGGCTGGTGACAGCTCCACTCGTCAATCCACGACTTCATTGCCTGTCAAATTCGTCCAAGCAAGACAATTGAAGACGTGGAAAGCCAGCAAATCATCATGCCAAGGAATTGACTCGCCGGTGTCTTGGATAAGACCGGGAGATGGATTGGAGATCGACCCAACTTCACCCGAACATCCCACCATCCGCTCACTCTTCCATTGGTTTGGTGTGAATAGCAATTGAATGCACCTCGTCTTTACCCGCCGGCATAATGTAGCAATTATGGCGCTTTGATGTGTTGTACTGGCTCTGCTTGGCCACGTCCGCCACGCATTGCGCCAAGTGGTACGATTTCGATGCCGATGGAGAACGCCAATGTGGGCTGCCTCGAGATTGACGACATGAATTGGGCAGTCGATTGGCGAATTGCCTCGGCGTTAAGCGAGCTGGCTGCAGGTACGGTTGCATCATCTCCTCCGGGTGGGTTACGATGTCAATGCGGGCGATGGGTCCTCGGTTTATGCTCTCAAGGGCCTCCTGCATGGTGAGCTGGAGCCAAGGGCGATGGCATTGACGCTTGTGGGGATGGAGAGAGCGCGATGAACAGTTTACTCAGTTCGATACTCTTCAAACTATCTCGGAAAACAGGTATAAAGACTGTCTAAGATCCCTCGGAAAGCCAATTTGTTTTATCCATCACTCACTCACAACTCAATCTACTTCAATCACAACCAGCTCTCACCAGCAAACCCCCCCAACCAACAACATGTCTTCCACTCAGCAGTTCACTGTCCCTCTTCCCACCGCCACTGGCCTTTCTGAGCCTGCTGGTAAGTCCAATGTTCTCCAGTACCCTCCTATCCAACTTGATACTAATCAAGCTATGAACAGGCCAAATCATCAAGGGTGCCACCCAGGATGACGGCTCCCTCCGTGATGCCGCTCTCCTGCTCGGCATCAAGCTCGACCTCGAGGCTGAGGTCCACCTGACTGCCCGCGTCAAGGGTGATGTCGTTGTTGGTCTTTACTAAGCGCTCGCCGCTTGGTGAGGTAGCTGGGGAAGCTTTCTAAACAATTGAAAAAGGGACGATCTTAGGAATCTAGGTTGCTAGGAATGTCGCGATATACAAAAAAATTCGAACACAACTATTTCAATAATCTATGCTGCATCACTGTGTGAAGACCAATGCCCTCTGATCGCCTTGAAATCTGTATTCGGGATGCAAAGACAGCAAGGTGTAAGAGAAAATAATATTGGGCATCGAAGGAATTAACCCATGTTTTCATGTTCATCTTTCAGTTTTGTTACAGTTAACTAGCACGGCGACTGACCGTCAGAGGTGCACCATTCCAAGGAATCTCTTAAAACCTCATCCCTGTGCAATCTCAAGCTGAAGTTGCGGTAAAAGACTCTACCTTTATTGCCCCACCCAGAGCCTCTGTGGCAAAATTGAAGATGCCAAACCGGTACGCCAGGAACCACGCCCAGCCTGAATACAGAGTGTAAGTTGGGCCAAACACCACAAAGTCTTCCCCATCGAAGCTGTACGAAAAGACGCAATCTCTTGTCCCGTCTGGGCGTGCATCAAGCTCCATCCGGAGCCACACTCTTGTCTGACCTGCAGGAATAGACAGCGTCTGCTTTACCTCGCCAAGGCTTTGAGTGACGCCGGATCCCCATTCATCAGTAATGATCCCATGGACGGTTACAAGGGAGTAATAGTTTCCGTTGCGGTGAATGCCAATGTACGAAGTCTGGTCGCGGAAGGCGGCGAAGCCTGCGCGGTCTCCAGGCAACATATTGCTGTAGTCGATGAGAACAGTCCCCACTGGGAACTCGCCGTGCGTGCGATGAGTAAGAGTATTTCGTGCAAAGTAAATGTCCTCCGTAATAGAAGCAGTCTTCAAAATTAGACCATCGTTGACAAGATAAGAGTTCACATCAGGGTTGTGGTTCCATTCCCATGAAGGGTGAAGAGAGGATCCTGCAAATGTATCAACACGATCCCAATTCTTGGTAGGTTCACAACTCGGGTTAGGTAGAGGGTAAGACTCTCCCCAGCCACCGTTGCTGCCTTCGACAAAGATAGGAAAGCCGTCGTCTCCCCATCTGATAGGGGCAAGAACTGGGAGGCGGCCAGCAGGATAGGCCCAAGTGAAGGACATGTAGTACCAGTCACCGTCCTTTGTCCTGATGAGACTACCCTGATGCGGGGAACTTCCTCCGTTGATCGGGGGAGAAATGTTTTGGACCAGAATCTTGGATTCGTACGGGCCCCAGGGGCTTTCCGACTTCCAAATATAGGTTGTGCCTCCTGGTTGGTCGTTGAGGATATAGTATGTTCCATTGATCTTGTACATGCGATTCCCTTCAAGACCTTCAGCGCCGACGTCAGTGTGATTGAAAACACTCTGGATCTGAGTATAAGTTGTTCCCTCTGGGTTCAGCTGAGCGACCCGGACATTGTTCGAGCCAAACACAACGTACATGGTGTCATCATCGTCGATCAAGATGCCATTATCGTACATGCAAATTCCCTCCCAAGACATAGCGCCGCGATTCGTCCAGGGGCCTTCAGGACTAGTTGCAGTAAAAACCCAGGTTACCCAAAAGTTGGTGCAGCCGATCCAATACCAGAGTCCATTGCTCTCCCGGTAACGCAAAGAAGATGCCCAGGTACCGCCGCGATATTCGTTCCCTTTACCAGAGCCGTTGGCGGGCAGGTCATAGTTATCACCGAATGTGAGGCGAGGGATAGAATGACCAATCACGTCCCAATTTACTAAATCGTTGGACTTTAAAATTGGTGCACCCGGGCTGTAGTGGAAGTTCGAGGCGGAAAAATAATACGCTCCATCGGGCCCCAGAAACACGTCGTTGTCCGGAAAATCAGAGTATATAATAGGATTTGAGAATTGGTTGGCGCTGATACCGTTACCGGCAAGGGGCGAACCAGCACTCACTGGGAGAGCAATTAAAAGCCAACACAAGAGGTTCATAATGTGTGATTTCATGTTGTGGCTGGGATAGAAATGGGCACGAAAATTTCCCCCGGCGTAGGTTCTGATTTATACTGGCCTCATGAGATTCTCAATCTGGACATGCGGGACGAAGTACCCGCGGAAGAAGCCGTACCGATCTCCTGATTTTGATTTTACCTATGCCAAGAACCTGTTCGAGGAAGGTGTCGACGCATGTGTTGTGACCTTGGTGTTACCTTACGTGCTCTCTTACCACTACATCGCTGTTCAGCCTATTCAGCCTGGCTTCAGATCTCTCACCCTTGGTGATTAACCGACACCGATCCGTTCCACTAATGCTGGGGGTGAGTATTTACCCGAGAAAAAGATTGAACTGCGTGATTCCTTATATCGGCTTGAGCTTCCCCGGAACTGAAGTATGACCATTTGGGACAGGAGCAGCGCCAGTGTGTTCCAATCCCCCGGAGACCTAATATCTTCGCCAGGCGCGGCGTACTGAGGATTACTTCGGCACCGATGTACTAAAGTGAATTAATGAAACATTTATTTACCGAAGATATACACGCATCGATGAACTGCTACATATGAAGGGCTCGTCATAGTTTGAATCTGTTCCTACTTGACAGGCTCTGCGCCAAATGTTGTATGTGTAGATGGTCTCTCTAGTCCAAAAAGATCCGCATCGAGTGTCTACAAGACTGGCTAAAAGTTTCCGTGAGATCATCATCAGCTTCGTCGGGAGCAGCTTTTTTATTTCACAATAACGCAACCATCACGGCCAAATATACCTAAAACAAGGGAGATAATGAGACAAGATGAGCCGTAATTCACAGGGCGGAGGAGCATATCAAAACTACACAGCCGACCTGTTCCTGGAATGTTTCAAGCTTAAAGACGGGATAGCTAATTTGTTTATGCGCCTAGGAAGGCGATACACGCGACCAACAACGCGACACTTAGCCCCTGAGGTGAGGAGTAGTGGATAAAAGCTGAGAGGTGAACGCGTCAGGATAATATCATGCTGTCGCTGAGCAAAAGAACATGGAGATACATATCAGAATGTTTTATAAAGGACTTCCGCTGCGAATCCTGAACATCTTGGGTTTAGCTATGGTACTAAGGCGGCAACAACTGCGGTGCCGGGTCAACCGTTCAAATCTACTTGCTGTAAATTCAGTTCCGAGAAAGATGGACCTGAACTTCGAGTCTTACTTTCAAAGATGGCATTGGTGCTCTTTTTGGGTATTACTTGGCCTTCAATTGTGCACCTCATTCGTGATTTGTTAATGCACGTTCTTTTTGCACGATTAGCACCCTTGGAGCGCAAAAGAAGTCCTATATTATTTAGAATAGTGCTGGAGGGTCACTTATTTAGACTTAAGGCATCAAGCGGCTAGCAAGTCATTAGCCAGTCGTCGCGAGTCTCTTGAATGTAGAACATCTTCCTTTGTCACTCTCATTTCTGAGATTCATGCTGCACACATCAGCGAAGTAAGTAAGTTAGTTCCTCTATTTTGTCCATGGCCCGTGTACAAAATTTTCTCGTATGAAGTAACGAGCCCTTACGTCACTTCATGTTCATCACAAGGGGATTTTCCATGGACCATTACCATGAACGATCAAGTAGGTAGTGGGAAACAAGTGAATATCGAGAGAACCCCGGTATTGAGAGTAGGATCGATCAATTCACTCAGCCGGGAAGCATACCCGAGAAAATCAGGTTGTCAGCGTCTGCTGAAACTCTGGCGAGCGCCCAGGGAAGTGATTGGCAGCAAGACGCGTGTCAGCGACCCGCTACCTTTTGTTTTCACATATTTATGAAACGAGCCAGGCAACAGTAATGACCATTTAGGAATTGTGCAGATCGAGCCAGCCAGTGCGGAGAGTCCTTGGCCCTCCGGTCAGCAGCTTGGCGTGAGCTGGCTCTCCACCGATGCGCGTAAAAGCATGGTTGTAAGCGGCATTATCCCAATCCGGGCGTGGCTGTGTATTGTTGTTGTTCTGTGCTATTTTGGCAACGTCTGACCTGCTCGGTTTCCAAAAGGTCAGAGTCTTGGCGATCGTTGCTCGGGGTACAACTCCCTATGAGCAATAAATAATCGGACCATCTCCTCTTCAATCGTGCATTCTCACGTCTGACTCCAAAGTGCATGTATCTGGAAATTGCTGCATACATACATACGTATTCACCATGGCTCAGTCTCGTGTTCTCGCGCACCCTCTCCGTCGGCTCACCATAGCTGCCTTTTTTCCGACTTTGATTCTCTCTACTGTCGATGCAGCCCTGTCCGGACCTGTCCGTATCGCAGGGTTCTCGGCCATCTTTATCTCGGCTATTGTCTCAACCATCCTGCTCTGCTGCAAGCGCCGAAACCCAACAAAGGGATATGGGGGATTGAAGGTTGCCATCTTACTTTTAATTTACGATACGCTGTCAGCTGCTGGAATCCTGACCTTTCTAATCTTTACTTGGATCTATCTCGGGTCATGGTGGAGGGAGGCTAGGCGGGCGGTACTGACTGCCTATGCCAGTGTACCATACATCCTTGTCTTGTAGGTAACCCCTCTCTATTCGATATCGGAAAACTGACTGACATGAACGTCTTAAATAGCCTTATTCATGCCTACCTTGCCCTGCTCAATCTTATTGACTTTATTGACCGACCCCGACACTGCCCTCATTGCGACGGTGACCTCTACGATCGAACCCCCGACGCGGCTCCGGGATTTAGTCACTCTCAAGTTTCTCGAGGAGTATACAGGAGTCTTCACGGACTTGACCACCAAGCCGTTGAGCGGCCCAGTGTCGATAGCGAGGCCGATGAGGACGCTAGATTGCTTGGTGAGGATGTTGGAATTGTCCAGAATCTTGGCCAAGTTCCCATTGGTGGAACTGGAAAGGGTGACATAAAAGTTGAGATCGTCTGAAACGATATTCAGGCAACTAAACAGACCCAGTGAAGAATCAACAGACTGTTGAAGTTGGTCGGTTTAGCCATTCCACTAGGTCTAGTTCCCAGGGCAAGAGTTCGCTGGGTGTGAAGCAACAAGTTGGAGAGGTTGTATGATGATGGGATCAATGGAAGAGACGAAGATTCTGTGTCACTCCCTTTTATCATATCTCTATCATTTGACAATATGGTTTTGATGCAGTATACTTGCTCAGCATTGAGTTAGCTATAGCTTTGGTGTGCGCCATCCGCATATTAGTTCTAGTTATTATTACAAGAACCATATAGTTTTTGCTTGAAGTAATGTCTGAATGGCCACTTTTGAGCGGCCTTTTCTGATACCTTTCAAGTGTATTGCAATACAGCACAAGAGCGAGTCATGCCTGAGGTTGGGGGGTAAAAAGACTGAGGTTATTTCTCAGCTCATCACTAGTTCAGTTCCGGGTACAAGACCCTCGGCTACATTTAGGTCACATTCCATCTGACCTACATCCCATGGTTCATCCTCATCGGGATCGGCTTCCGGGGAAAATACAGGGGCTTGAACCCATGGACGCTATGCCATGATCTCGATTATGCCAGAAATCAATCAACCAGTAACGCGGATACTGTTGCGCCTATCACCGTGATGTCTTCTCATGAGGGTCAGCGCCCAAGTATCAATAGAATTGATTTTCTACTCTTTGTAGGCATCTCGATGCTTGACTCTTCTATGATTTTTGTGCCACCTTTGCAAAATCGGTAAATCGGTAGCGTGGAAGTCGATACCTCAAGCTATTTCGTTCTACGCTCCCATGCCTTGGCTGCTATTGTGATAGTTTGGGTGACCAATGATTAAATGGATTCAAAGCCGATTCACCTAATACTTCTAATACAGATTGTTTAATGTTTTCTGCTGTTGTAACTATTAGGGCCTCTATCGTTGCAGATTGCAAACGAGGGTTCGTCACTTTCCCCTTGCAATGCCAGCGCCCATGAAAAGATTTCCTATATATATCCAGACTCTCCCTCGCCAAGACCGGTTTGACTTTGCATAACTTCGAACCATTGCCCAAATCTCTCTTTGAAATCGTGGTTAACCATTATATTGTGCTCGGCGTCATAGAAGGCGTTTGGTGGTGGATCATGGGATGTTTCGATCACCCATTCGGTCTACACGACCTCAGCGCGAACAGGAGCAACATAATTTGGGCGTCGAGGGTGTGGAAGAGGATTGGCTTCTGGATAATTTCTCTTATCAGAGCTGCCTGTGTTGGCTTGTTTTGCAGTCTTTGAAGCATCTTCGTCTTTGGCGCTCTGCCTCTTCTCGCGTTTGTTGTCCTCTTCTTCACCCTCGTCGCTACTTTTCTTAGACCTAGAAACCTTCTCGGCTCTTCGACTTTTCGCCTTTTCTTTCCAAACCTTCTTTCATTTTCAATGGCCAACCTGGCAGCTTTAACCAATTCTTCCACTTCTGAGGTTTTGCGGGTTTGAGTGTGGTAATGGCGGAAATTTCTTGTAGGTGCGTCAGCCTTGCATACAAGTTCTTTATAATTTTTATATGCTTTAACCATGCCATCAGACCATGGCTCATGCTTCTGATACTGCTGCAGGTCTATTCTCCGGAGCCATATCTCGAGTCCTTCTTTAGTCGTAATTAAATTATCTAGATCAAGGCTGGTGATGTCGATTCAAGCCTGGATGAAATTCTCTTCCATCTAGACTCAGCCGGGCCAACTCCCAACCGTATGGGTACGTGCACTTTCCTGGTCAAGGGGTGTTAGAAATTCAGGTTTTGAAGTTTGACGGATTCAAACTGGTTTCCTCCAGATTCCAGAAATTGCAGAGAATCTCTTAGATAGCCAAGTTTAAGATCTCTTGATGTAGCAAGGTTTGAAGATTTCTTACCGGCGATGTTTCAGTACTCGGCAGTCGTGATGCTTCAGTAGTCGGCAGTCGTGACGCTTCAGTAGTCGACAGTCGTGACGCTTCAGTAGTCGGCAGTCGTGACACTTCAGTAGTCGGCAGTGCAACTTCTCCTCCAAGAATGTAGGACCGTCTGTCAGCTTCGATGTTGAAATGGCACGTCATATTGAGCGTTCAGATAGGAAAGGCGAGCGGAATTATTGTATTGTTTTATTTTAATATTTCGGATGTCGAAGCGGGGAAGGTTGAGTTGATAGATTGACGAGGGTTCGGCGAGAGTGACAACATGGTGAATGGGTTCCGATGAAGAAATTGAACCCGCCATAGCTTCCCGAGGAAGGTGAATTTATATGCATTATTATATTAGTGATTAAGTGTTATGATTAAAAGATTTGGCAGATGAGGTCTAGGGCTTCGAACCATTATATACCCAGAATAAAATAGGTACTGTGGTCTGAGCCTTTGTGCTTTGTTCTCCAGCCTGTTTCAAGTGTCCAATGTCAATGTAAGATTATTAGCCAATCAAACGATCCTAATGGTATTTTGAGACAATCAATAATGTGTGAACAAAAAAGACAACAAACAGTATTTCTAGTTAAACAAGGTTGATGCATTAGCAAACGTTATCGTCAGGGTTAAAGGAAAGAGAGGAAAGTCAGGCTTCAAGCTTGCGTTCAATTCCCATTGTTTATTTACTGCATTTTAAATTGTTCTTGGACATGTACTAGGAGGTCTGAGGCTATCATCATAGAGAATTTTTGTTTGAAAACGAATAACTCGTTACTTTCTACTTCTCTTGACACTTCATACTACGCTCACCACTACACCAACTGGATCAATTAGCCCGTCAAGGCAACCCGTACCTTGTTGTCTTTCTTCTTTCAGGACGATCTATGTATCTATCCGTGTCGATTCATCGGATGCACGATTATCTGTCAGGAAAAACCTTTGCCCCTGCCCGGTAATAAGAACTGGACACCTTCCTTTCTCTTCTGGATCTACCACAAATCAAGGTGATTGTACATGCATCTCCCGTCTTTTTCAGCAGTATGCCCTCGACCGCAGGTACTTTCTTGCCCCGGCTCTTCAAGCGACCCTGGGCACCGTCGTCATGGACGCCTACGCTATCCATAGAAATCACTCGAGATAACCCGGCTCTTACACCTGTACGCGAAAGTATGTCCATGGATCAGTACTGGAAGCTCTGAAACTCTCGCAAAGAACGAAATATTGGCCATAACCGCGTTCTATTTTCAGCATGTCGAGCTATAGGGTCTGTAACCTCTGTTATCATCAACAACTAAGTAATGGCGCTAAATGTGGGACTGCATTTAGTTTAGTCTTAATTGTCAATTGGAGATTTCTAGGGGTAAATTGGGTAGGCCTCTACTGATGCCAATCAGCTTCGCACAGGCACCTGAGTCTTGGTAGCAATCAGTTTGTTTCCACATTACCTGGCCACAGGCTTCCTACTTCTACTAAACCAGAAATAGCGCCGTGGATGGAGCCATGATGCAATTTCCGCCATATATCCCGCGGGGAATGACTAGAGGCGACCCCGCGTCTGGGACTCCGAGTTCGGATATGAGCTTTCAATAAACAGCCTTGGATTACCGAGCAAGCGAAATGTCAGCACGGCCAACAGATATTATCATCTCTCACACGGTTTCACACTCTTGGAGCTATCAAAGTGTACAAAATGTTCGCAGGCCTCGCTCACGTCAATATTACCGTGCCAGAGGGCACGTTAGACTCGGCATATGAGTTTTACGTCAACACAGTTGGGCTGACCCCCAGCCCCGTGCCAGCTCTTCAAAAGGATTCTCTAGCCTGGTATGTTGTTGCCCACATTTGCCGGCCAATTTGTTCTCGGCATCAAACTAACAAGTCATGGTTGATAGGTTCAATATTGGGTCTTCAGGCCAGCAGGTCCATGTTGCTCTCGGGACCAATCTCGAACTTGACCACAAACGTCATCCTTGCTTCAAGCTGGAAGACAAAGAGTCTCTCATCGCGTTGCAGCATAAAATATGGAAACATTTTGAAGCTGGCGGTGTGGCTGCTCCGTTAGCAATTGACAAGCCTGGCGAGGCAAATTCCGGTATGTCTCTATCCGCAAATTATCTCATATAGACACGTCGAACTAACTCCTTGTCAAGGTGCGAAAGGTGTCGAGTACCCCGACCGCTTCTTTGCTCGAGACTTTGCCGGTAATAGATTAGAATTCAGCTTGTAATTTAGTCTTTGGGTCATTTGATGTTCTGTTCCAGAAGAGTAAGGTCGTTGAAGAGTGCGATAATGAAGTGACTAGCGGTGGACAATGGTGCACGATGGATCTAAGAAGACAGGTCAGAGGAAATCATATTGTTTTTTTTTTGCATCTGTTTCAACATCAGAATCAACTTGTATTTCTGTCTCGCACTAATTTAATCGCACCCGCAAGAGATAGCCGCTTTAAAAGACCGAGATTTGCTGTCCACCCCGATTAAGTACTAGAAGTTACCTTCTCTTTATCATAAGATGTATTTTAGACTTACGCCAAAATATGATTTCATCGTCAGGGACGGCAAGGACATCTACGATCTGGCAATGCTACGATGACAATGTGGAAATATTGATTCTCACGAGTCTAGGGTAAGCTAATGTGGTGATCACGTGCGACGCTGGCTCCCATTCTCATAAGACATTACGATCGTTTCATTTTAAATATGGCGATACCATTCCTGTTGCAGTATTTTTTATTTGTGGGTTATTCTTTCTAAAACGCCCTATGAGAACTAAAATAAGAATCGCCTTATTCCTATTTTGAGAGACTGACCGTTGTGGCGTTTATCGTGACCTCTGCTCAATTGCGGGTACTTTGGATTGTTTCGACTGAATCAAAAGTTGGTCATCAAGGTTCCCAGCTAAAACTCTCTAATCAGCCTTCTCCTCGTCAGGGACATCTTCACTGCCCATTTCGCCCATTCAGTCTACTACTCCTACGATATCCCGGTTTTCAAGAACAGAATGGGCCGAACAGAGCCGTCGGTGGGCAGGCCACCAGCTGCATTCCGCAAAGATGCACGGGCG